AGCTGATTTTATTTTCCTTCCCTGGGCTTGTTGCTCCAAGGAAGCCAGGGCTCGGTAAGTGGATATACAGTGGTTGGGTTATCCCACGCCCAACCCCTTCCAGTGTGCAGGTCAGAGTACCCCACCTTGAAAGCAGAGAGAACTGCTATGTATTGACCGTTTCTACACAGATAATGTCTAATGTAGATAGCATGTAATCCTGATTTAGTGTTACTAACTGGAGCAAACTCAAAGGATGATCATCTTCTACGAGCATCCCGTCGGGTAAGTACAGCCCTGCTGATCCTTAGAAAATAGGAGGATGGGGACAAGACACAATCTATTCCCATCCTCTCTGTAGCTTTCTACTCCAGGGTCAGTAAAGATATACAGCTGTGCCCCAGGCTGAGCCATGTTCATTGGTTGCAGTTGTGGCTACTTCTCCTCTCCTTGAGTGAAAATGTGGTCCCATTTTCACTAATCTTTCCTCTCTCTGCACTGCCCCCCACCACATGAGGAAGGTGTGCCTTGTTTCTCTAAGACAGTGGAGGAGGGCAGGCACAGTGGGATGCACTACAAGTAGCAGTATACCTTCTGCAGTAGTGGAGAGACCTTTGCAAACTCTCCTGTGGAGCAGGAGACCAGACCAGTTCCTGCACTCAGAAAGGTACGGCCACAGCATATGGACCTGATAAGACTGTCAGATAGTGCTGGGATCTTTCATGCTCCGAGCTAGTGGGTTTTGTATGGCCCAGAAATCATCATCTGCTGTAACAGGTGGGTGGCCATTTGGCAAAAGTGTGAATTTGTACTCAGTCTCTGGAAATAGCCATTGGTGACCGCACTGGTGACCGATTGAGGAGAAAAAAAAAAAAATCAATCCCACAGTAATGGCTGAGGATTTCTGACCTTTGCTCTGCCATTGTAAATTTGTTTTTATTGCTTCTAATTGGCCTTGCTTTGGAGCATGCACATTATCTAACTGCCAGGGCACTGACTGTCATCATCTACTGGGCCATTTGATTTGTGTTTTTTACATTTGAAACTTGTCAGACATTCCCAGAAAATATTGCGTTCCCCTTGCAGTGTCAAAGATGGGGCTGGCTAATTGTGCCTCCCTGAGAGTGAAGCGTTTGAAGTAATCAGGCATTGATTGTTTAGCTGCAATGGCTGCCTATCTGCAATGGAAACGCGTTTCTGCTCTATGGAGGGGAAAGTGTAAAAATTAGATCAGCAGCTACATGACAGCAGCCAGATTTCTTGGTTTCAGGGATCAAAGGTTAGCCATTTTCAAGCCTTAATGATTCATTTTTGATCCTAGTCATGTGGCATGAATAACTTTTTTTTTTTCTTCCTCCCTTTGCACAGAATCCTATTCTATTTTGGCCCCCTTCAATTTGCAGGCTACAAAGTTGCTAATTAAAATCTATTGCTCTCCACTTCAGCTTGCTTCACTGAATGGAAATAAAACTCAAGAAACGTGTGTGTGAAAGAGCTTAAAACCCCAAGAGTGTGTTTATGGGCTGTGAGGGTCCTTGTCCTCTGGGAGGTGGTGGTCTAAAACTCAGCACATCTAAAACATTAGCCTGGTTTGTAAGTTAGCCGATTCATTTTAAGACCTTTAAGGCTTAGGGTTTCCTAAAAACTACAAACACCTACACATTTGTTTTGTGTGTTAACAATGTGGAGTACATTTGGTGTAAATGTATGTAGGGGTTGTATTTCTGCATACTGGCTGAGAGCGCTAAAACAAGCAATAGGAATGCCCCCAGTGTGCAAAACAGGAAAAAAGCAGCACAAGAAGTGCTGAGATGTTAGACCTCAATGTGAATGATGCTTCTGTTGTATTTAGATAGGAGCATTTTTGCTGCTGAAATCAGAGGCGGACATTTTTCCCATGGGGTTCTGTAACTCAGAATTGTGTTGAGATCAAGCATGTAGTGTTTTTTTTTTTTTTTTTTTTAGCAGTAAAGGTGAATGTATTCAGATTATTCAAGTGGTGATTTTTTAGATGTACAATTAGCTGACTGAGAGATGTGGTATACATTTGGTATTGTAATTGCTATGCCTCTGAGACTTCAATTTGCAAAACAGTTTGCATGGTGGCAAGATTAACTGTTGTATGTGCAATGAGCAAGCAGCAGAGCTGTGATTTGATCGTGACTGTCTGTCAATTGGCTGTACATCCAAAAATCACTTTGTCACAAGACTCTTATGTGAACAGAGTGCTTGATACTCGTGATGCTTCAGTTCAGTGGACGCTTGGATAGCTGCTGAAAAATGCCAGTGTCTAAAAATCCCACCTGTTAGTTAACCAAGGTTTCCTTTTGCTGTGTTACCCAGCTCATGAAAAACGAAGGAGATTTAACACCCGTTTTTATCCTCTTTGCATGGCTTGCATTATTGTATTTCCTTCACTTGCGGATATGAGACAGGAAAAGCAGAAAGGCCATGCGGAGCAGTCGGTGTGTCTGTCCCCGCACCGGGCAGCGAGGAGTGGAGCCGTGCCTCCCCCGGCTCGTCTCTGCCCGGGAGCTCGCGGGCGCTGGGCAGGCTGTCAGCAGGGACGTGGGCCGCGTTGGTGCAGCCTCCGGGCAGCGGCTGGGCTGAGGGACTCGCCTTCCGATCCGTTTCTTAGGATTCTCTGTTTGGTCCACAGCTGCTGTTGTGTTTGGGTCTCCAGCGTTGTCTAGGAACGTGTCGATGTAATTATAGATAGAACCGAAGAAACTGCTTATTCTCACTTCAGCGTGCCTCTCAGGTCTCCCTCCCAGGGTCCTAATTTATTTATTTTTGTCTCAGTCTTTATCTTTTCAAAATACCGCTGTGTTGTGGGTTGGTGATTGAAGTGGAGAGGCAGTACGGGCTGAGCTGATGGCAGTGTGTGTTGAGGGGGCTGGTGGAGGTTGAGCCTACTTAGCCCTGTAGCCTATCAGCCTCTTATTTCAGGTTTTTTAGTTGTATTTTGAAACCTCCTGCAAATAAACGTGGAAGTACTAACAAACAGACGTCTGCATTTGGAGCAATGGGGAAGGCAGGTTTTTCTGTGCCGGTGCTGCAGCCAGGTTTAGAGGGGCCCAGTTCGCCAGGGGACGAGTCAGGAGTGGAGGAATCAAGAAACCTTGATTTTCATCTCAGCTTTTATCATCTCAGTTCTGCCCTGACTCGGTTTTTGGCCTTGGGTGAGTCCCTTCACTTTTGGCCGTCTGGCTGTGAGATCTGATAGCCGCCCTCCTCTGGAGTTTGTACAGCGCCTAATGCCGCCGTGGCTTGGGCCCCCCGCTGCCCTGGCAAACGCAGGTGCGTGCTCTAACAGAGACCAGGCTGTGTGCTTAAAGTGGAGGAGCTCCCTCTGCACGGCAGTTCGGGGTTGAATGAAGAAAATCGGCAGGGTTTCGGGTGCCAGGGGCCAGATCTGCGCAGAGTCGTTGGGGGCACCATGCCGGCGGCCCGAGCC